AGGCCTGGGTGAGAGGCGGCGGGCTCTGTGGGGCCCTGGGAGGAGTGGAAGGGCTGACCTGAATGGCCAGGAACCCGCAGGAGAGGCCCGGGGCCTGCCGGTACGTACGTTCTCCCTGAAGATGAAGGCCAGGATGGCGGCCGAGAGCTCTGCCAGGAAGATGATGAGGATGAACAGGAAGAACTGCAAGGAGAGGGGCAGGCCATGAGCTCCGGGCAGGCAGGGGCGGGCGGCCGCATGCCCACGCACCGTCATCCCAAATTCACCAAATGAACACAGCGCGCCCCCTGGGAGGTGCGAACACACCACTGCTGTACGCCAAAGTCGCCACAGACCGCCCTGAGCCCTCACAGTCAACCAGGCTGTAACGAAGACGCAGAAACACACCTTCCGTGGAAGAGGAACCTGACAGGCCCTGTGTGCAGTGAACCTGACCAAGCCTACTCGGAGGCACCGGGAGACCGTGGATAAGGCTTCCCTTGGGCCTCCTCGGGTAGATTACTGCCCACCCCCGGGGGATTGTACATGCTATGGGAGTCCCAAGTTCTTGGGGATCCCTGGCTGGCTACCAGGGCTGCCTCTCCCAGTCCGCTGTCTCCGGGTCCCATGGGAGGGGTGCGGTCACACCGATCTGAGGAAATACAGGAGTGAGATGGGCAGGAGGGTGTCTAGCCTTGAAGAGCCACAGGCTGGGAGCTGGACACCCACCCAACGCAGCCCCTCTGGGCCACTCGCTGACCCCACGAAACCTCTGGTTTTGGGCCCCCACACACAGCTTCCTTTGTCAGGAAGGCCTCTCCCTTGCTGGCTGCCAGCTTCATACCTCCCAGCTTCAGTTCGAGTCCTAGCCCCCTCCTGACCACCCCAGGCAGGGACAGCCCTCCCCCAAAGCCTGCCCCATCCCTGTGCCCAGCAGAGCTGCCCACGGCTCCTGAGTGTGCCCCTCGATCACGACTCAGCCCCAGTGCCCGGAGAGCACAGGCACCCCACACGGCTGCTGGCTGCATGTCCTTGGGGCCTGGCCATCGTGGGGCCTGTTTTAGGCCAAGGGCTGTTAGTGGAGGAGTACTGAGAACCTGCCCTCAGCACCCGGCACTGCCAGTGCCCGTGGCATCACAGCCTGTCACCACCCCCACTCTGGAAGCCACCCGCAGAGGACTTAGTCCTGCAATTAGGGGGTCACCATCCTCAGAACAGCCGGCCTGCCCCGGACGTGTCGGGCAGGAGGAGGGCAGAGGGCGCTGGTTTATGGCAGGACAGCTGGCTCGAGCCTGGCCTCCTGGGAGCTGGGCAATCACTCAGACCCCTTCGGGCCTCCATGACTTCCAAGCTACCTGGGTCCGAGACTCGAACCCTAGCCAGACATGTGGGGCCCAGTGCCTTAGCTACCGCCACCTGCTAGTTATAAGGGCATTAGAACGCCATCAGAGCACGGGACGGAAGTAGAACCTTTGGGAAAATATAGGATTAAGGCCAAGGGAGCTCAGGACTGAGTCCCGGCAGGCGTACAAGGAGGGAAGGAGACAGCGACTGCGACACACAGAGGCATGCCCTCCTGCTCAGCCATGATGCGATGCCCTGCGTGGCCTTGGGACTGAGAGGAAAGCCCTTCCCGTGACCCCACACTGTGGGCTGTCAGCCCCTAGTTTTACGTGACATGACCCAGGCTAACGTAGTTCCCACTATCAGCGGCAGGGTGGACGGCATGGCGGGCTCTCTCCTATCATGCGTCTCTTCTAGTCAGACGGGTTCTG